CAATTTAAAAAAAATATCTAGTATATTCTAAATATTCTGTTTTTAAAAATTATATATAAATGCTTTCGTTCGCCAATTGAGCAATATTGAGAAAATGGAATTTTTAACAGCTGCTGCTGCTTTAATGCATCACTCTTCATAAGAATTGAGCAATATAGCAGTTGTATGGCATTTATATAGCACATATATAATGTGTTAAAAATTCCATATCTCTGCTGAGGGCTGATAGCCTAGGGGTAAGAGTTTCTGACTGATGTCAGATCGATCGAGTTTCAATCTTGGCTTGAAGTAATCAGATGTCTAGCCACACTGAGGAGCTGTGATACTGCAAAAATCCAAAATTATCTCATGTGGGTATAGTCTATTTCAAACTGGCGCAACCTTGTGCCAGTCCTCCTCAGCCCTGAATCCTCAAATAAATTGTAAAATTCTTGGCTTTGCAAATACCCCCAATAGTGTTAGGGGTAGGTGCAAGTTATGTTTAGAAGAAAAAAATTAGTATAATAAAATATAAAGATCAATGCAAACTATTAAATCAAAGGAGAGAACTAATCACGAAGTGTAGGCATAGAAATAAATTCCAAATTACATAAGAATACATGTGCATATATGTGGGGGTGTATGTGTACGTATAGTGGCATGTAAATGTGATCACGTAAATTTACACACACACACATATATATATAGCTCTGTTATTGCACACTGAGCACTATTTTATTAGCATCATCACTCAATGTACAGTTTTATATATATATATATATATATATATATATATATATATATATATATATATATATACACACAATTACTTGACACCACAGAACATAAATATTGATTTGAAAATGTATGAGAGCATTTTTCATTTTTCTTTTAAAGGAATCCTTTTTGGCCAACACTTCTTCAGAGGTAACCATTGGTGCAAATCTGATGAAGCAATGGATAATATTCACAAAAAATATACTAAATATATATATATATATATATATATCAATCATCATCATGAGTTGGTTTCACAAAACGAAGATCATAAGGGAGTCTGTATATGTATGTTGCTTGCAGGCATGTTTGTAACTGATAAGTCCAATGTGGAACAGGCTTACTTGGTCACAGTAGTTAGAGCTAAAAGTCTGGCCTGGGCTTGATGGCATAGCATTATAGTACTTCCTCCTCTGCCTCCTGTCCCTGAGAGCAGCCCTGGAGGTATTTTCAAAGGCAACAGCATGGTTGGTGTTGAGATGCCAGAGGTCATGATTCTCAGGTAGGGATGATCATTGGCAATAGTTAATGTGACAGGTAACAAAGGATATTTTCAGGCAATCTTTGAATAGCTTCTTTGGTGCTCATCTTCCATGATAGCCTATGGAGAGCTCACAATATAATAAAATTTTAGGCAGGTAATGATTCTCCATCCTGAAAACATGTCCAGCCCAGTATAGCTGGGACTTCAACAGCATGGCCTCAATGCTGGTGATCTTTGCCTTTTCAAGAACTTCAATATTGGAGATAAAGTCACTCCAGTGTACGTTAAGGATCATGCAGAGACAGCACTGGTGGAACCAGTCGAGGATGTTGCACCTTTTTGAAACTCTAATTCTTTACCTCAAATGGAAGTTCTCACCTTGAAATCCACAGCTCATGTGACAAAAACAGGGCTTAATTTCATCTGGCTCCATACATTCATTTCTGGGATACCATCCAAATATACCGGGGATCATAAAATCATTTTTCTGACCAATCAGAAAAGGGCTCATATGGTTTTCACAGCAACTGTTTCTGAGCCACTAAGTCACTATAAAGTCAATACTGATTTTACTCATGAAAGCAGATCTGATATCTGGAATTAGGAACAGATTCCTATGGAAGGAGAGCTTAACCAGGCTGTCAGCAGTGACACCAAGGCACTTCTGTCAACAACATTGCCTTTGGTTAATGATGAAACCATGGCTGCAGTGGAATTCAACTCTTTACTACTACAAAGCGATAATTCATAGAATATTTCTCCATGAGTCTATTTCATTTGGCTTCATATGTGTGTTAATTTTTCTCCATGTGTTTATCTCAACTATTACCTTATGTGATATCCTAAACAAAATCTCAGTCTCCCATGATTAATATATGGTATCCTAAAAAAGCAAACAACTGAAACTTGTAAATCAAGAGGAAATAAAAACTTTTTTACTTATATCAACATCTCATCTCCATTTGTTTTCTTTTATAACTTTCACTTTTTTCTTAATGGTAAGACCACCATTACAAGATGATTTTTATAACCCTTTCTATATTTAATCTGAATATGTTTTCTAATAAATGTAAATTTTAAATGAACAAACAATTTGAAATTTGCTCATTTTTAGTAACGTGAATTGTATGAAATGAATATTCTGATAAAAATTCTTGTGTTGTAGCCAAATTAGTCAGAGACTCAAGATTCACCAAATAAATTTGCCCAATTCTGTGGAGTTGGGAAGTCAGCTATAATGCTGTCCTTTTAATTTCTCAGAAAGGAGAGGTAAATTTTTTTTGTTCACTCCTTCGCTATCTGAATATGATACTACCCAAAATTCCCTTTTACAACCCCCAAAAATATTTTATTTTAGTTCAATCTTCCAGTTTACTGGTCATTATTGCTATTGCTCTGACAATTTCAATATTTCTTTTAATTTTGTTAATATCTCAGGACCACTATACAACATTTGAAAGTAGGTATTTCTTTGAAATTAATAATTTTATTCAAATACTTTTATGACTTTAATGACATATCTGAACAAAAGAGACAGTAAAAATGAGCTTGGAATAGACTCTTGAGTCATTTTAAAATCTGGAATAAATTAGATCAAGCATGTCAAACTCAGGGCATATGGAGGGCCGCATCAGTCATATCTGCAACCTTGAAGACCACACCTGATTACAGTCTCACATTAATCACAGCTAGTGGTAACTAAACTTTAAATACAAAATACTTACAATACAAGGTAGTACAATTTAATCATTTTTATGTTGTCCTGATGAGTGACATTGATTTAGACAAACTATTCTCAATATATCAGGTTGGAATGTCTGTGTAGATCTCACTTTGATCAAAGATGACCAATGTTCATCAGTTTATCTGGTTCTGTGGGATGTTTTTGTAGTCTTCATAAACGAAAATAACTGCTCACATGCATGTGGAACCAAACATCGCCATAATCTTTGTGGCAAACTTTCTGAAGTTCTTAAATGTCTGAGGAAGATATGAAAAAAATCCAGGTGCCCCCTACTTCTAGGTACTTTCAACAAAAATTCTCAATATACCATGGTTATAGAAACCTTTGTGATAGCCACCAAGATGCATGTAAAAGGCTGCATGCTGCTGGCGGGCCACCAGTTTGACACACCTGAAATAGCATATTTCAATATAAATCAAACTTTAGATACTATATGATTTGGATGATTTTTTTTAAAATTCTAACTTTGGGAGAAGAACAATATTTCTTTGGTTCAGGCACCTTTCTATTAATTTGATTATCTATTCTATATATATTTTCATTTTAGGGAAAAAAAACTATTACAAATTGGGAAAAAGTTTTCGTGTGATGCATTTCATCATTTAGGACTTCATAGGATTGAAATAAAATTTATGCTGATGTGACTACACATGTACATGAAAGAGTTTTTTCCCTAAAATTGTATTTAATATATAAAAATGTACATATCATTTCCCATATATTTTTATGTATTTGAGACACCTCCACCATCACCACAATGTAGCAAATGAATTATACATTTTCAGGACAAAAGCTAATTATTTTCAGGGCAATTTAGAAAGTTTTCAGGGCAAATTCCTTTGGCTTCATGTGTAAAAATTCTCTTGTACACCTATATTTTCAAGATTCTGTTGATTTTTACAAATTTTGCAGATAATTCCTTGACATATAGTCTGAATATTTTTCTTCTTCTGTGTGGCATGTCTCTTTAGGCTTTTATGGCTCTCTACAATATCTTGTCTTTTGTAGTCTTGTGTAAGGTTTCTTTTTTTGCTGTTCTATCTAGCCCCTGGTCTGCTAGCACAAGCTCAGGTAGGTTATTCACTGCTTTCCCCTGTTCCTCTAGCCTTCAATATATATTATGAGTGTCAAGTTCTCAAACCCTCTTTACTTGCCTTAAAAATTTCAATTGTTTCTTTCTGATGCTAAATATTTGATTCTATTTTCCTTAAAAATTTGTTATTGCTTACATGTTTAATCTATAGCATTCTCAACATCTTTCTATAGAACTACATTTCTTTTGCCTGAATTTTCTTCTTCATCTCTGAGGGGATTGTTCAACATTTTCTACCATATAAGAGGACCAATACTACATCACAGTTCATCGCTCATTTTTTTCTAACAAAATGTTCCTGTTTCTTAACAAATGTTCCTGTTTCTTAATATTTTGCTTAGCTTTTGGAAGGCATCTTTTGCTATTCCAATGCACCTTTGAATTAACAGAGTATTAAAAAAGCATTAAAAAAAAAACATCATTAAATTAAGCAAATAAATTTTTAAAAGACCCTTAGAAGATATCTCATTTTGTTATGAATAAGTTTGAATAATCAGAAGATAAAAATAATTTCATAAAGTACTGTATTCAGCAGGCGAACATATATAATTAAAATGCATTCTTAATTTTTTATGAAGAAATCCCTGTTTTGGTGCCCGTCCTTATCCTTTGATATTTTCATAAAAAAAACTATTGCAAAACAATAGTGCCAACAGTTAAAAACGAAACAGATGTAATATCCTGATACGGATTTATGACAAGTTCAGCTGATAAATCTAATTATCTCAACAAATTGAAATTATTAGATAAAACATTCTAATGTCATATTTTTTGGTGAAGTGTTTCACAAAAAAAAAACAAAAACAGGAACATTTTAAACTTCCGGTTTAAACGTCACTTCCGTTAGAATTCTTATAGATTCTCTACATGTCGTGTACGTGCCCCTTGGGGTCAGGAGTTGTGGTTCATTTTAATTTTGGCCGATGGCTAATTCAGCCGCTTCTAAAGATTCAGACAACTGTATTGAAAGGCAGAAAGATGAAGTCAAAGCTTTACAATCAATTTTTGCTTCAGATTTTATTGACTTGCGGACTGAAATATCAAACCAAGTGAGTAAAAAACGAAACAAAAAAAAATACTAACAGAACTCAACAAAGCATGTTCAGTTGTTTTTTCTTGTTGAGCACGTTTTGTTTTTGTTTATTTTAAACATTTCACAATTTATTAAAGTAAACAAATAAAAAACATCAATGTATCCAATTATGTAAATTTGTAAACGTTATTTGCATAAATATTAATTTTCTTTAACTTACGTAACTTAAAAATGTGAAAAAAGTTTTTTTAGAATTTGGGGATTTCTTTTTTGCGTGAATTTAAAGAATTTGTTTTCTAATAAAGTTTACATTTATCATTACGAATATCGCTGTAACTAATTTAATTTTTAATTATGTCAATATTTTAAATCTTTATTTTAAAAGAAAGCTGAGTGTTCGAAACAAAATTAAAAACTGAAAGTAAAACTTTGTTAGAAACGAAAAACCTGTCTAATGTCAATAATTGACATTTTTGGTTTGACAATATTTTGAACTTCTTTCGTTCGTAACATTGTTAATAACAAAGTGTTTCTTCATAAGAATAATATTTCGATTTTTTAAAAAAAATTCTGTTGAAAATTATTAGTTGTTTATCTTTTAACGATTTCGTTTTTATAATAATGCAGTTTACGTTTAGTAGTACTTGTTTTATTTGGGGGGGGGGCAATTTCTTTTCCCCAGGAAATTTCTGAACCCAGAAATGTCTTTCAGTCGTTTGCCAACATTTTTAATTTTACAACTGAATGTTTCTTTTTTTTTTTTTTTTTTTTTTTGCTAGTGTTAGTGTTCGTGTAATTTTTTATTAAAAGTACACAGGTCATTTTTTTCTTAGATTTTTAGTTTTTTAACATTATTGCTAGTATAACGCTTTAAATGCAACAATCAGATACGGAATAAGAATTACAATTAATTAAACAAACCAAGGACTACAATGCAATGAAAATTGGAAAAACAAAAAATTATTTAAATTTTTTGTTGTACGTTTGAAGAAAAATGAATCTGATCAAGATGTGAAGATCTTGATTAAAGTTGTAGAACTTTTTTCATGCCTTCAATTCGTAAATATTATCGTTAAGTTAGTGAATTTTGACAAATTGATTAGTTACAACTTTTTTACAAGAGTATGTTAGTTAAAAAAAAAACAACAAAAGACAGCTAATTGAATCAAATTGTCAAAACCAGTGAGAAACACGTTTTCGTTTATTGAATTGTATTATTTCCGTAAAAACAAGTGTGATTTGAGAAAACTGAAAAGGGAGTAAGAAAAGATTCTAGTTAACTTAGAATTTAGCTTTAATTTTATTCTAAGTTTTTAGACATATTTTTTTAGCTACACTAAAAAAAAGTTAATTTAAATTTGAGAAAAAAAAATGAAGACCCAAACTGAACATTACAAAACTACTTGAAGGGAGGTGTGGTCTGAATTAGCCAATCAAAGTTTCCTTTGGTGGGGATAGTTACTACTTACGTTGAAATATTTGTCATCTCCCCGAATTTATATCAAGAAAAGTTAAAAACTATATCACAACTTTTTATTGTATGTATGAACTCCATCAATGGTTGTAAAACTTGAAAATTGAAATCTATTTAAAATGCCCATTTGAAATAAAAATTGTTTTCTATCAAAATTTAAAAATGAAATTGTCATTAACAATTAACAAACATTTGGCAAATAAATTAACATTTGCTTAGAAGTTTGTGAATAATGTTTGATAAGATGATATTCGTATATTTTATTCTTTTTTTTTTTAGCAACTAAAAATCTAATTCTGACCGTGTCATTGTTACTATTTAAGTTTAACAAAGTTAAAAAGTGAGAAAAGAAACCACTTTTTTTTTTTTTTTAACTCTGTTAGTCACTTAGTGTTACTGCTGTGTTATCCATCTAGAACTGTTTAACCCAAGCACTCAATGTGAGTTACATTTAAAAATAGCGCACATTAAACTTTATTACCACAAGCACGCAATTTATAGCACGAAACAGTTCAAAATTCAGAGATGAGTCTCTCTACATACACTATTTTGAGAAGCAAGTATCAACAAGTTTTAAAAATGTTACAAACAAAATAAGATTAGATTAGCTAAGCTTGTATTTTTTTTTTAATTTTTTTTTTTTTTTATTTATATCTTGTTATTGACGTTTTCTTAAAGCGAAAGCACGCGCTAAAAATATTGGACTGGCTTGGTCTTATGTTCCTAATCCCCTTTTTTTTTCTTTTTTTTTTTTTGTTACCTTGGCCAACACCGACGTCTCTTCAGTAGTTCATAATCTGTTTTTAGTTTATTAATTAAAAATGTATCCCACCAAGTCACAGTGTTTCGGAACAGTGCTCCAAACTGTTTAATTGTCGAACTCTCTGCCTTGATTGAGCAGTGAGGAACCCAGACGAGGCTTTGTTGAAAGGTAAAGTTTCGTCCGGAGAGGTAGACAGACCCTGAACCCGTTTATGTGGGTTCTAAGGGAATATTTTTGGCCGAGCCTACGGGCTTGGAGAACCCACGGTAAACTCGGCCTTGTACCATATACATCCCTCGTGGGGGACCTGTTTTCTGACCTGGAGTTTGTTTATTGATTTTATTTTCATATATTGCTAAAATTTATTAAGTTCTTACATTTTAGTTTACTTTTCTGTGTGTGTCTTCTTTTTAGTGGTTTTCTTTGTTTTTCCTTGTTTTGATTTTTTGTTCAATTAGTGAAATAAGCAACAGTTTTTCACTTCAATTTTTATTTTTAATTTTAAATAACTATTTTTAAGCTCTATTTACTATTTTTTTAATTTAAGTAACCTGTGAATGACGTTAAAAAGGAGGTCGGAAAATGAAATCCTCTTTCTACTTTTTTTTTTTTTTTTTTTTTTTTTTTTTGAATATCCATTGCTTTTTGAAGTCCGAGAATTGCTGTATATGTAAAAAGTTTTTGTAAAACCCGATTCTGTGCCAATTACAGACAGGGAGTTTGTCTTGGTCCTTATTAAAGAAAGTACCTCCACTAAATTTTCGATACCTAAGGTTTAAAAGGAATTTTTAAAAATGAAAAAGCATTTATGAAGGTTTCTTTTTAGCTTTAATTTCAGTAAGCAAAATATTCTGGTGTATTAAATAGAGATTATTGACTGGAATCCCCCTTTTTGGTCGCTTTCAGAAATCGTTTTTAAAATCAGCCATTTTTGACACATTTGTAAATAAAAGTTAATTCTCGGTTTAAAAATCTTTCAAAAATAAAATATACTTTTTATTTTTCTGAAACTTTATTTGCGAAATATTAGCTGATTTAAAGTATAATTAATCTGATTTGAAAATTTTTTTAAGAGAAATGAATGTTTAAAACACAGAAGCAATGATTATGTGCTTATCACATAGACTTAACAGGAAAAGACCAAGGTGTTGACAGATTTATTTGTTTTTCTATGGAGACTTTATCTGGTAAAACATTTTTTCGATTTTCTTTTAAGAAAATGACAGATGAGTTTTTTTTTATATATTTTTTAAGTACTCAGTAATCTTAAAAATGTTGGAAAATATTCTCTGAAGTAATCTAATTTTAGGAATGTTGAACTTAAATTTACTATAGTCATCACTCTTATTTTCTGATTATGTCATATATGGTCGACCACATTTTCAAAATGGCACGTTACATAATATTTTATATATATAAAAAAAATTAAAAATGATTTTAAAAATCTTGAAGCAAAATACTTTGTATTAAGCTTTTCAATTTTTTATTAGTAAATATAGTTTTCACTTAATAATAATAATAATATCACCTAGACGAATTGGAGTAATGCCAAAGTTTAAATGATTTACAACAGGGGTCCTCAACTTATGTTGGAGATCCATTCCTGTGGCGCAACGTAACCTGATTTTCAATGTAGGTCAGAACTCACCTACAAAAGCATCCACAAGACTGCTTTACACTTGGGAGCCATAATGAAGGGCAAAATGTTCAAAAAAAGAAAATGACACAGACGAGAGATAGCAAATCCATATGCCATACACAGCTGGTGAAAAACAATGCCATCTTTCTCGTATAGTGTCGCATGACGACATATGGGAGATGGTACCGTAACCACGAAATGCCATATATCTGTTCCAACGTAACCTGAGCACCTTCTGTATATATTTATACTATAAATTATTATGATTAAAATTTAAAAAAAACAAAACAATTTTTGTAAAAATTCATTATTCATCGATAATTTTTTTTTCTGAAGACAATAGTGTCCTTAATAAATCTTATTTATATAAAGCAATTAAAAACTTTTCTAATTAAATAATACCATATTTTTATTGCTATTTTTATTTTATGACTCGAAGCAGATTTTTTGGGAAATGAGCAGTAGTTTGAAAAAAGTTTTTACAATATCCAAGAAGCCCTGCTTTTAACTAATAACACAAGTTTTGAGAATGAAATTAACTTGGTGTGGGGAACCTACATACATACACATATATATATTTTTCTATAAAAAAAATTAAAAAATAATTTAATTTATGAATAAGTCCTGAAAGTTTCATGAAAATCTGACAATTATTTGATTTTTGCAAGAATTTCTAAATATTTAATATGTTCACCTGGAAAAAAAAAAAAAAAAAAGGCACGAAAACATTAATTGTAAATATTATGTTGACTGCTGCTGAAAAAAAAAAGATTTTTAACCAAAATTTCAAATGTTCTAGAAAGGGTTAAAAAATTTAATAAGAAAATACTTTGGTCTTTCCTCTTAATAATATAACATAAACATTTTGACAATAAATTTTTTTTTAAGTTTAAATTTTTTTTTTTTTTCATCATGCTATGCTGTTTTTTCAGTGACAAGTGGCAGTATCTTGGTTCTGTTTTATTTTTTCAAATTCTACTTGGCTCCCACTTCTCCCCAGTAGAAAAGCAATACCTCCCCCAATGATACCTGAAGTTTAAAATGCATTTTAAAATTAAACTATTTCTTGAAGATTTTATTTTAGTTTTAATTCCAAGCTAATTATATTTTTTCAATTGTAATTGTGGTAGTTGGTGGCTA